CCGGATTGGTCATCGAATCGATTAAAGAATTGGGTCAATAATTTACTGGTTCAACCGGTGGGTCACTAGTCAAACCGGCCATTTAATAAAAAAAATAAAATATGTTTATTGAGTTGAATACTATAACATGCTTATTGAAATCAACCACCAAGTCAAAACCAATGAAATCAAAACCAAAGAAATCANCATGTTATCAGAACCGGATTGGTCATCGAATCGATTAAAAGATTGAGTCAATAATTTACTGATTCAACCGGCGGATCACTAGTCAAACCGGCCATTTAATAAAAAAAATAAAATATATTTATTGAGTTGAATACTATAATCTGCTTATTGAAATCAACCACCAAGTCAAAACCAATGAAATCAAAACCAAAGAAATCAAGTTTGACAGATGTACAGACCATTTTTGTTTACATCCAAAATCAATCACCAGTTTTAGTTGCTAAGATATGAACTAATGAAATGAAGTTTTACCTTAATTTATAGCCTGATGTCGCTTGTGTTCGCTTGGTCGCTGAAGCCCGTTGCCTCACCTGGTCACTGATCGCTGTGGCTCATCAGTGCTTATAGTCGAAGATCCTTGGACTGGAGCCTGATCGCTGGAGCTGTGGCGATGGTGGTGCTAAGTCCTTGGTCGAAGACGATGGTGGTGGTGCTGAGCCTTGGTCGAAGACGACGAAGAGCCTTAGTCGCTGGAACCTGGCAGTGGTGCTGTGATTTATAGATTTAGGGCAAAAAAAAACCCAAAATACCAAAAATAATATATATTTAATTAGTTTATGTAATTTAATTTTTAAATGGGCATTAAACTGTCTGGTTTCTAAAAAATTACCGGTTTATGGTTTTTGTTAAAAATTGGCCGATTTTTCGATTTTTAAACAGTTCACTTCCTTAAGTGGTTCAATTAAGAAACCGGACCAATTAGGGTTCCGGTTCACAGTTGAACTGATCCGATCTAGTTCTGATAACACTGATAGTTAATGAACTTTTGATAGAACCAAGCGATCTACAAAATTGGATTAGGCAGTTACTTTGTTTATTTGAGGCTCTATATGAAAATTCAAAAGCAGCACTAAAATTAATTCCTCCTGAATTGGCCCTTCCTTCCTCCTTCATGGGAAACATTTCGCACTTTGTCTTTCAATTCGTCTAAATGATATTATAATGGTTGTCCATTGTAGTGTGTTTGTTCAGATTGGTGCGGTTGGCCATTTTATTGTTGTTTATTTTTATGTTTTAGGATCGGATTATAGTCTACACGATAGCTTTTTTGTGTTTACTCTATATGGATGCCCATGTGTTTGTTATTTTGATGTAACTCAAATAGCACAATCTTGAATAAGATACCAAATCATTCATTATTTACTACTTTAAATTGGTAAATCTGCACATAGGGGTGTTAATGGCTAAGAAACACGAATACGGACATGGATACGACCCGATACGAAGTTTCTCTAAAAAAATAGGACACGAACGCTTTACAAAAAATTTATATTTTGTATATAATATTATATAATTTATTGCAAATATAATGATAATGATATATAATTCATAAAAAATTTAGTATTTTATGATAAGTAAATAATATCCAGTCATTTGTGTAAATTTTTAGATTAAAGCATCTTTATTACAGTCAATAATCATTAAATTTTTTTTAGACAATGTTTACCTAATATATAATTTAAATAATTGTTCTCATTTTTTCAATTCTTTTTTTTTTTAATTTTTATGTATTTTTTATTTTTATTATTATAATTGGAGTATAACTTTAACATGTATAGTATTAGTAATTATATATTCTCAAAATTTTAAATTTTGTTAATCACATTCAACACATGTCTATTGTTTAGTGGTAGACACGTTCTAAAGAAATGTCGGACACGTCACTAAAAAAGTGTCTAACACGTGTCCGAAATTAAAAATTTATCATTTAATTATTGACACAGATAAAAGAATATTGGACAGTGTCCGAAGAATATCGATATCTGACAAGGATACGTCATCTTCTTGAAAGTGTCTGTGCTTCATAAGTTAATAGTATTGCTTCAGGCTGATAAAAAAAAAGTAGTATGCTTCAAAAAACAAAAAAAATAGTTAGTCATAACATTGCATCATGGCTAATAAAATTATTGGTACTAGGAAAATGACCAATTAATGAATAAGGAGTATTTTAGTACCTATCTATAAAAATAAATGAGATATTCAAATTTGTAATAATTATAGAGAAATAAAATTGATGAGTCATATAATGAAATTATGGAAATTGGTCATTGAACATTACCTAAGAGTTGAGATTACAATTTTAGAAAAATAGTTTGGGTTTATGCCTAGTAGATCAACTATAGAGACTATATATTTATTAAGGACACTCGTAGAAAAGTATAANATTTTAGAAAAATAGTTTGGGTTTATGCCTAGTAGATCAACTATAGAGACTATATATTTATTAAGGACACTCGTAGAAAAGTATAAAGAGAAGAAGAAAAATTTCCATATGATATTTATAGATCTTGAAAAGATGTATGATAAAGTGTCTAGAAATATATTATCGATGATGCTTGAGATAAAAAAAAGTGACGGATAGGTACAATGAGTTGATAAGGATATGTATAACAGGGTTATAACTATAACTAGATCTTCCGTGAGAGAAAATAAAGAATTTTTAATCAATGTGAGATTACATTAAGGATCATCTCTAAGTTTATACTTATTCGCCTTAATTATAGATAAACTCATTAGACACATTCAAGATAATATCCCATGGTGTATGCTATTTATAGATGATATTGTCTTAATAGATAAAACTCTCACGGTAGAATTCTCTATTCTTTTTCTCCTTCTCCTCTTTTTTTATTGCTCCTTATAATTCTCATTTTCCCTATCCTCTCACCCTTTTCCTTATTCGTTGCTCCTTCTCCTTCTTCCTCTTATTGACCTTACTCTCGAGGACATCNAAAAAAAATAGTTAGTCATAACATTGCATCATGGCTAATAAAATTATTGGTACTAAGAAAATGACCAATGAATGAATAAGGNAAAATTATTGGTACTAAGAAAATGACCAATGAATGAATAAGGAGTATTTTAGTACCTATCTATAAAAATAAATGAGATATTCAAAATTGTAATAATTATAGAGAAATAAAATTGATGAGTCATATAATGAAATTAAAGAAATTGGTCATTGAACGTTACCTAAGAGTTGAGATTACAATTTTAGAAAAATAGTTTGGGTTTATGCCTAGTAGATCAACTATAGAGACTATATATTTATTAAGGACACTCGTAGAAAAGTATAGAGAGAAGAAAAAAAATCTCTATATGATATTTATAGATCTTGAAAAGATGTATGATAAAGTGTCTAGAAATATATTATCGATGATGCTTGAGATAAAAAAAGTGACGGATAGGTACAATGAGTTGATAAGGATATGTATAACAGAGTTATAACTATAACTAGGTTTTCCGTGAGAGAAAATAAAGAATTTTTAATCAATGTGAGATTACATTAAAGATCATCTCTAAGTTTATACTTATTCGCCTTAATTATAGATAAATTCATTAGACACATTCAAGATAATATCCCATGGTGTATGCTATTTATAGATGAGATATTGTCTTAGTAGATAAAACTCACGGTAGGATTCCTTATTCTTTTTCTCCTTCTCCTCCTTTTTCATTGCTCCTTATAATTCTCATTTTCCTTATCCTTTCACTCCTTTTTCTTATTCGTTGCTCCTTCTCCTTCTTCCTCTTATTGACCTTACTCTCGAGGACATCAATGTGTAAGCAATTACGTAAAATACATTATGAATAATTTTTTATGGATCAAGGTGGTTTTTTTTTTCTTTCTCAAATCTATTCATTGCAGGTTAGAGTTACATATATGTAGTTATTGATTCCTATTTATAATTATAGATAGATAAATAACGATTTTAATCTTTATTCAATCATGCACCTTGGCTCAATCATAAATAGATTATTGTCTAAAAATAATTACAATTCTATTGTTAATTTTTTGTTATTCAAAATATGAACAACACTTAATTTATTCTTAAATAGCTTAGGATCATATATATATATTCCAACTTTTTTTGTTTTCTCCAATAAATTTTTGGAAAGTTGAAATTCGTAGACTTCAATTTTACAACAGATTATAATTATTTTTGGAGAATTTCTATGGAGATGTTTACTTTTTCCAGCTTGCTTATTTAGTTAAGCAATTTAAGTTTTAAAAATTTTATCCAATAATCGAGTTTGATGTCAATTTAAATATTTATAATTCCATCGACCCAAACTTGGACAAGTTTGGTAGGCTCTCAAGCTTAGATTAGAGTGAGATAGTTTAAGCCAAATTTTGAATATACATTATGGTATTGACTCCAATATCGTATTTTTTCAATTTCAATGGTATTTTAATTTTATCAATTCAAATTATTGATTTTAAATTAAACTAATAATACACACATTCAAAATAATATATATATATTTAAAAATAAATTATATTTGTAATTAAATTCAATAATAAATGATTTGTTAAAAAATTAATATACTAAATTAATTATTAATCTATTATATTTTTTTTTGACAAAAAATTTAATTAAATTATAATAACATTATGATTTTTTAATTAANAATTAATATACTAAATTAATTATTAATCTATTATATTTTTTTTTGACAAAAAATTTAATTAAATTATAATAACATTATGATTTTTTAATTAAATAATTTGTTACCGCTGGACTTAGATTATTGTGTTCGTCACGTAATGTGACCGCTTTTAATTACGAACACAATACGTGACGTCACGAACACAATGGTTTAAGTTCAACGCTAATAAATTAGTTAATTAAAAATCATTTAAAAAAATCATTCCCACTTGCTTGCTGGTTGATAGGGTTTAATTCTCTCTCTTCACCGTCGCCCACCACTCTTCTCCTCCTGCATCACTCACCAATCCTGCCCATCCCACCACCACCACTACACCAACCCAAATGGCGGCAACTGTGTTCACAAACCCTCACATCTCCCCCACCATTACTTTCTCATTCTCCCCCTCCAACATCCCAATTCGCAGTTTNTCACTCACCAATCCTGCCCATCCCACCACCACCACTACACCAACCCAAATGGCGGCAACTGTGTTCACAAACCCTCACATCTCCCCCACCATTACTTTCTCATTCTCCCCCTCCAACATCCCAATTCGCAGTTTAATTCATTTCCCACCCACAAAGCCATCCCATTTCACCACCATTATCTGTTCACTCCCTCGCCACCGCCCCGAGTACACCCCAAATCGCATTTCCGACCCCAAATACCTCCGAATTTTCGACACAACCCTCCGCGACGGCGAGCAATCCCCCGGCGCCACCCTAACGACGAAGGAAAAACTCCATATCGCCCGACAGCTTGCGAAGCTCGGGGTCGACATAATCGAGGCAGGATTTCCCGCCTCGTCGGTAGCTGATTTGGAGGCCGTGAAATTGATTGCCCAGGAAATTGGGAATGTCGTGGACGACGACGGTCACGTGCCGGTCATATGCGGCCTGTCAAGGTGCAACAAGAATGATATTGATAAGGCTTGGGAGGCAGTGAAGTATGCGAAGAAGCCGAGGATTCATACGTTCATTGCGACGAGTGAGATTCATATGAAGTATAAGTTGAAGAAAACCAAAGAGGAGGTGGTCGAGATAGCTAGGAGTATGGTCCAGTATGCTAGAAGTTTAGGTTGTGATGATGTTGAGTTTAGCCCAGAAGATGCTGGAAGGTTTGCTCTAATTTACTTTCTCTGTCTTTATATGTGCGTGTGTGTGTGGGTGTGCTATGTCATGCAAATATTATGCACAGAATATTATCGCTGAAATTGTATTGTATTGGGCTGTGTTTGGATGCTAAGAAAGCTGTAGGTCAATACGAAATTTCACCAATTTTGGGTTTTGATACCAAATTGATTAAAAAAATGACCGAGAAATATTGTTCCGTTTGCATGCTGAGGTGTATATGGACCTAGTCAGTACAGTCCCACCAAAAAAAGGGGCCAAGAGAACATAACCCCTCACCCGAGTTGAACTGGCTCCAAGCCAAACTGCTAGATTTTGAGCTATGTTGTCACCAACGGAGTTACCAGATATGAAGCACGATAGATTGCTGAACAACGTGATTTTCTGTTGAATGGAGAGGTGAAAATGTTTCAATGAAAGGAACAGGACTATGAGTCAGGACCATGCATATTTAGCTTGAAATAACACCAATGATGATGATTCAGAATTGACCATATGCGTTTCCACATTGAAGTTTTTCTTAGAGGTCGTTATAAGTTTGTTTGTATTGTGGACAGGAATTGTGTACTTTTTTGAGCTTGATTATTTAGTTACACAATTTAAGTTTTAAAAATATTATCCAATAATTGAGTTCGATGTCATTTTATCCACTGATTGATGACGTCAGCGACATTAGGGTGTCCCGGGGTTCTTTAACAGTGTTTTCCATTTTTTTGATCTCGGATTAATGCTCTGGTACAAGTTGAAATAGCAAAATTAAAATTAGGGTTAGAGAGAGAGAGAGAGAGGAGAGAGAATAATGAGTTGTGTAGACTATATTGCTCTACACTTTCTTTTTTGTGGTGAACTGATGTTATTGGAATTATAATACTACCCTACACTACTAATAATAAAAAAAAAGAACTCTAACATTTAGAAAACTTGCAGGAGTCCTGGTGTCCGTTTTCTTTTTGCTTTATGTTAACATTGCACACTCTGATTTTTTATTGTTACCAGGTCCGATAGGGAGTTTCTTTATCACATTCTAGGCGAGGTCATTAAAGCTGGGGCAACAACTCTTAACATCCCTGATACTGTTGGAATCACTGTGCCTGATGAATTTGGGCAATTAATTGCTGACATAAAATCCAACACCCCTGGAGTTGAAAATGTGATCATTTCGACGCACTGCCAGAATGATCTTGGACTTTCTACTGCCAACACTTTGGCGGTATGCATTCACATGTAGTGTGCTTAATTGAACTAATTAATTAGTAGTGTGCATAATTGGACTAATTAATTAAAGAGTCAGATTGTGCTCATGTGGCTCATCTGAATTTAGGGGGCATATGCGGGTGCAAGACAAGTTGAAGTAACAATCAATGGCATTGGGGAAAGAGCTGGTAATGCTTCCTTGGAGGAGGTAAGTCTGTAAGTATGTGTTTTACACAATGTTTAATGTGGTTCAAGCATTAGGAAGATTAACTTACTTGATTATAGTGCATAGGTTTTCCAGTGCTATGAACATATCATGAAATCATTTTTGTGGCTTTCCATTGCTCTGCCTGGAGCATTCAGTCGATTTTTTTCCTTGAGTCATTATGTAGTTCCATCTCCATTCATTTCTGGGCAGCGAATTTGATGCTGGAGGCCAATTACATTCTCATGTTTTAGTCACTTGAGGTCATTGATCACCTATAATTTGAGTTAAATTACAATTAAGCATTCTATGTACGGTTTATCATACTACATGCAGTAATAATCATATTGTCCTATGAATGTTGTGGTGGAGTTGTGCAGGCCAACTTCTAAAGGAGAGTTATATTTAAGATCACAGATCAAATGTTCGAAATTCAACATGTTTATAACCATTGTTACTGAGTTTTATGCTGTGTATGATTTAATTACAAAAATGACGTATAATCTGGTGATCTTAGTTGCTTTACTTCAGAGACTTTTTACTTATCTCAACAAAATCTTTGCACCAACGAGATTGACTGCTGCCTTCTTGCTTCACTTAAACAATTATTAATGAGAGAGAGAGAGAGAGAGAGAGAGAGAGAGAGAGGAATCGGCATGAGTAGTATGTATTGGTTAATCGTCACANCTGCCTTCTTGCTTCACTTAAACAATTATTAATGAGAGAGAGAGAGAGAGAGAGAGGAATCGGCATGAGTAGTATGTATTGGTTAATCGTCAAATAATAAATGAATTAGTTCATAGGAAACCAAAGTTTGTTTACCCAGAGTATCTTATTACCAGTAAATTGTGTGGGTGAAAGTTTTTCGTTGTTGTAATTTTTCAAAGTGATTTACACAGCTTGCTATCAATACTATTAATGATTTTGGCAACTCATGACATGGCTTTTTTGTCTACGCAGCTAAGTTTTCCAGTATGATTTAGGCTGTCAATTGTGTTAGGTGAGATGGGTTTTTGTCGAATCTTAGTGGGTTCATGTCAAAAAATACTACACTCACATCTGATTCGTTTATTAATTCGTGTTTAACGAATCGTGTCATATCGGATTTCGTGTCGTGTATGAACTGTATATAACTGATATATAAACGAGTTATGTTTTATATTTCTTCTAATTGTTTTCACTCATACCCTATTTGTTCATTAATCGGGTCGGGTCGGGTCTACTTGTTTACTAAATGAGAGGCTTAAGAAAGATCCAAACCCTTTAATTTTGTGATGTGTTAACGGGTTGTCATATTTTGACACTTTTAGTATGCTTATCTTCGTTCATATATTGGCTTTTAATATTTTTTTTGGAAGGTGGTGTCCTTAGATTTTGTTTTGGTTGTTTTCAGCTTTTTATTTTTTATTGATCTAGGTGTTGCATTTCTGTCCTTCCCAACATAGGTTGTGATGGCTGTTAAATGCCGCGGAGAGAAAGTCTTAAGTGGCCTTTATACTGGAATCAATACGCAACACATTATTATGACAAGCAAGATGGTATTCTATCTTAGACTTTGCATTTCCTAACTTTTCTATTTCTTGATGGAATTTGTTTCAATTGTATTTCCTGACTAATACTTCGCTATTCAAGGTGGAAGAGTACACTGGGCTGCAAGTGCAGCCGCACAAGGCTATTGTTGGAGCCAATGCTTTTGCTCATGAAAGTGGTATCCATCAGGTTGGTTTTATTGATTTTTATGGATACAAACATATGTTCCGGCCTATTACTAGTTTCTATCTTTTTGTGGTTGTTGCTACCATTATTCTTATTAGTTAATTTATCTTGATCTTGTGATCTTTAAAAGAATACTTTGACATTTCCTCCTCGGCTTCGTTGATCTAACGCCTTTCTGCTATATTAAACTAATTCGCCTTCTGTTGTTGACCATATGTAGAATTCTGCTTTGCTATTTTTCGTGATATACTAATACATCTTGTTGCTATTGTATGGAGCAGTATAGGATATCTTTCTGACACTTGGAAGTTCAAGCTGTTGTGTTGTATTTGTCAAAATTGAAATCATTAACCTCTTTGTTAGTCAACTATAGTGCAGCTCTAATTTATATGTGTATGTGCTATTTAAGGTTTATGCCCTTTGATAGGTAATTTTACCCTCTTATAGAAGTGGACATTTTAGGCACTCGTGAATTTTTGTGCAATCTCCTCTCATTGCTCCCTTTTGATGTCTTTTAAACTGTTGTAACATATGTATGGGAAGTCTTAGAGGAGATGGATAATTAATGTGTTGCTGGTCATCCTTGGAAGACTGCACTTTCTTTGCAGAAGTGGGGTTGCTTGTATTTTCCTTAATGTCGTCTTTCACTCTTTTGTATTTTGTTTTTCTGTTAAACTCAAGTATCTTAATTTATATTTGTTGTTGTCTCTAATAATTGAGTTAAACTTCTGGAAGCTGATGGTAATGGTTTTGGTTTTTAGGATGGAATGCTGAAGCATAAAGATACATACGAGATCATATCACCTGAAGATATTGGACTTCATCGTTCAAATGAATCTGGTATTGTCCTTGGAAAACTTAGGTATGCTGTGATACACTGGGATATTTCTACTTTTGTGGAGGCTTGCGGATTTGTAGTGTCTTCATCTTTCACCTGTAATTCTCTGGTTGTCTTTGGCTAACTTGTTTACATTTGATGTTTCTTATACATTCTTGAAGAGCACAACTAGTCTTGATATCTTTGTGAAGTGAATTTGTCATACGGAATGCATGTTTTTCATCCATGAAGTTGCTCTCCTCCAACTTGTACTCATTGGTCTAGATGACGCTTTGATTGGAACTCAATACTGTGATTGCTAGCCTTTGCACATCTGAAAGAATTTTCTTTCTTGGCTTCTAAAGAATGCCACTTTTTTGATTAAAGATCATTGGGCTCAAGTTTGTGAATAGTGTTGACACTAATATTTCCTGTGTGTCTTTTTTTCTTTCCTATGTTTTGTTTAGTTGCTTTGATTTTTTCTTTGTACAGTCTTATACAATGGAACATTTGTATTCTAGTCATGATTAGTTATGGTGTCACATGCAATAGGCAGATGATTGGGGTATCTTTGTCCACCCACTCATGGAGTTGAATGGATCATCATGTTTAATCTCTTTCTTCTGTTCGCTGCACTCTTTGTGATTCATTTCTTTTGTAAAGGTTCTTNATGATTGGGGTATCTTTGTCCACCCACTCATGGAGTTGAATGGATCATCATGTTTAGTCTCTTTCTTCTGTTCGCTGCACTCTTTGTGATTCATTTCTTTTGTAAGGTTCTTTTTTTTATTTTTTTTTATTTTATCATTTTGTTTACTAACAATCAGGATGTTTATGACAGGCTCTTTATATTTTAAACTACCACACAATCAAGTTTCTTTCTAAGCTGGTGCATGCCCTGGCCTAGAATACCAGAGCTTAGGATGAGAAGGGAACATAAGAGGGGAGAGCTTTGATGTACTTACATGTGCAAATATATATATTCACTTATGCACACACACATATGTATGTATTCATATGCCTGCTTGTATATAGAGAGCAGGATGTATTTAGTGCTAAATAACATAGAAGTGAAGCATTGACTTGGTGGGAGTGGTTATGAAACACTGCGTTATGGTCTTGGTCTCAACTTGTAGCACCTGGCAAACACAACTTCTGTATATTATACTTGTCACATATTCATGGCCAAACAATCAACATCAGAAACCCAGAAAGTCGAACTTTCTTCCTGGAGGAATTGCATTTCTACACTGCTCATTGCAAATGGGATGGGAGAATCTGCGTCCCTGTCCATACTACCCTCAGATTGTCAGGCTGCTTCCCTGACAAAGAAGGAAGGGAGGGGTAATGGTTGAGTCTCCAAAAATCAACATCATTCCGATAAAGAACTCCTTAGTCAATGTTTATATTTGTTGACAGTCTTGTGCTCTTCAGAAGTGCATGTGACTGGAAGCGNGGTTGAGTCTCCAAAAATCAACATCATTCCGATAAAGAACTCCTTAGTCAATGTTTCTATTTGTTGACAGTCTTGTGCTCTTCAGAAGTGCATGTGACTGGAAGTGATAATGTGTTATGTGTTGAAATGAATTCACATTTTTTAAGGAGCATTACTTAGCTGTTTGTAATTTTTTGGACAGTGGGCGCCATGCATTGAGGGCTAAACTTTTGGAGGTAGAGTGCAATGTTCATGTCAATTATAGAAGATTTTGCAAAGTGACTTCTTTTTTGTGTCATGCATTAACATTTCTGCTTTATTATCTTCTCAGCTTGGTTATGACATTGATGGTGAAGAACTTGATGATCTCTTCTGGCGCTTTAAAGCTGTGGCTGAAAGGAAAAAGGTGAGTGGAAATGCTTGGCATTTCTATAGATGAAGTATATTTTTGATAAAAGGCGTAACTGCTGTGTCAGCTTCAATTACATGTAACATTGTAATTTGATAAAAAGTCGAACTTGGAAGAAAGAAGCGAGGAAACATTGCCTGTATGAGTAGTTCTCAAGTGGAGGACAGAATAGAATTTAACAGACAGTTGAAATTGTTTGGTGTAGAAAATGAAAACAAGAGAAGGGGCAAAACAGAATTTCACATGGAATTCTCTTAAGACCTTATCTAACCATGTTTTGGGTTAAATTGGCTCTTCTTCTTTTTTTTTGTTAGTCTTGGGCTCTATGCCATTATGAGTTGCAGCGCCATTTATGTGTACTTTTGAGCTTTGGAAGTCAAGTTATTCAAGTGATTTCATTAATTGCTGGATATGGATTGTAATTGCATACTTCAGGTCAGATTATTTTTTGGGTTATTCTGGATGAGATTCCTAGAGTCTCCTCGACCATAGCTTAAAAGATTATTCCTAGGGAGTTCTAAGTGGAAGTCCCTTATTCTCTTCTCCTTCTTATTTTCCTCTTTCTCTTTATTCTACCCTGATCCACCCAGTCTACTGCCTCTCATGTCTCATGCTCACTGCACCTTGAACAGACCCTTGCGATCCTATAATTCGGCTATAATTGGCCTACCATTTCCCTGCATTGCCCTTCAAAGCAGCTCCAAACTCCATACTCAGTTGCTCTCCTGAATTTCCTGGAGCCAATTTTCTGCAATTCCAGCAAAACAAATCCGAGCTTATCTCGACCCATTATCATCCTGAAAGTCTACAGCCCTTTTCCACCTCTTAAAACAATAAGCCACAAGCATTCAATCCAAACCTTACCAAAAAGAAAATTCATTGCTACTCATGGTCTCATGTGGTCCCTTCATAGTCCAATACTATTTATTCTATATTTTTTTAATGGTAGTTCTGTTTTTTATACTTCATATCTTAATCAAATATTAAAATTAAACTCTAATTGCTCTTGTTCTAAAAATGCATGCTGGAAAAAAAGGGTCTTCTCTTGACTTTCTAATTCCTGATTTTGAACAATGTCTAACTTTTACAAATTTTATTTTGTGGACTTACTTTGCAGACCTGCTGTAGTTGTCATCAAATTCTCTATGTAGAAGAAAATGTTGGTATATTTGACTAATACATTTTGATGTTGTTAATTTGTTTCTGTGAACATAGCTATGTCAAAGATGTGAAACTATAGAGTTCATCTCTTTACATAGTAGTTTATTTCCCATGATCAAAGAACTGAAAACAAAAACCCATTGTAAAAAGGTCATACTTAGTGCACAAGGCTTCTCCCGACAATGGGGTCTGGACTCTGGAGGTGTTAAGGGTAGCCAGACTTACCTTCATTTGGAGAAGCTGATTCCCAGATTTGAACTAAGGCGTGTTGCTTGTACAGTTGAGCAGCTGCCATAGCTCCACGTCCGACCTTTAAAACTGAGAAAGCCATCTTCACAATCTAATAAATAAAGCAGGCCTAAAAGTATAAATAGGGGGTTACAAATTCCCCATCTCATTGGGGGTGGAAAATGAATCGACATCTTGATGTGATACAACCTTTTCTATTTTAGTTGGGAAAAAAAGAAGTGAGGACGAGAAGCAGCGGAGCTTTCAGTGCCATAAAAATGCTAGACTACTCATACACAAGAAATGATCAGAAGTTAGATATAGACAATAAATTTCAAATAGAATAGAACGTTGCTATATCATATGACTCATGTAGGGTCTTAGTTGGTACCTAATAGAAGGTTGATTGTAACTTTTTTTAGTACATGTTATAACCGCCATAAGTCAATGGTATGAATTGCTTTTTTCTTCATTAATATGGTATATGGTTCAATATTAGAACTATTTATTGTGTCTTCAGTGACACGTAGGGCACTTCATGCTGTAAGTCATCACATTCTAAGACATGACATCTTTGTCCTTTTACATTTGACGCAATTGAAAGAATGCACCATATATTACTTGTGCAAGTTTTATTTGTATTAATGCACCGTCTCTTTAGTTATTATCATCCTGAGTGGTTTACAATCCCTGGTTTTTATGCATTTGATCATGTTGTTAATTTAGTATGAGAATGTGGATAAAATAAACACTCCTACCCACTCTGTTGGAGATTTATAAGAGGAAATCCAGGAGAGTAAATCTTGTGTTGGCCCAACTGATGAAACTTGGGTTAAACATTAGGTGTCCTTGTTGAACCAATGTCTGTGGGTCCTTTTTCGTCAGGGGATATCATATTCTCTTTTTTTTTTCCCTCTCATTTTGTGTTTGTTTAACCAAACTTTTGGTTGTTTCAGAAATTAGGGAACTCTCTGGATTCGTCAAATTAGGATGCATTTTTTTCCTCTCCTCTTGGTTTTTGTCAGAATATCTCAATTGATCAAGTCATTCGTTAACCCATTGATAACTTGTTGATTAATGTGATCTGTGTATGTGGAATGCATATGCCCTTTTTTTCAAAGCATAAAAAATGTTTTTACCCATTAGTTTATTTTATTGGTTTGTGTTCCAGATTATTACCGATGATGACCTAATTGCACTGGTCTCAGATGAAGTTTTTCAGCCACAAGTTGTTTGGAAGCTTGGAGATGTGCAGGTTTGTACTGCCTCCACTTTTTCATGCTTAAAATTGTTTATTTGTTATCCATATGGGCTTGGATTCAAAAGAACGATGCAGTTTTTTGATTGAGACCTGTCACCTTACGCACAGGTTACATGTGGAACTCTCGGTCTTTCTACATCAACTGTTAAACTCATTGATGCCGATGGAGCAGGGCATATTGCTTGTTCGGTTGGAACGGGGCCAGTTGATGCAGCTTACAAGGCCGTTGATCTCATTGTGAAGGTTTGAACTGTAAACTTGCAATTATCTTTTTCAAATGATTTTTAAGTAGGTTAAAATTTAGGCGAGCTCCATTACACGAATACAGATGGGTGGCAGTAGGATAAGAGGATATCTTATAGTTGATTGTGTCCACCATGGTGCCACTTAATTGTGAACTTAACTGTTACACATATTTTTTGTTTTGATAAGAAACAAAACTTCCATTGAAAACAAAATAAGTATACATAGAAGCGGACAAGGATTTCACCCTATGTGATGATGCAAATATAGAATGATAAAAAAAATACATGGAGAAAATTAGCACTAGAAGTGACTTGAGAACATGCCGCTATCCAATCCATATTAAGGCTAAACGAAGTTACATCCTCAATCTTTTCCGCATTTGATGCCCAAAGAGAAGCCAAGAACTCTGCTCTATAACCTCCCCACAATCTTCTTTATCCTCAAAGAATCTACAATTCATTTCCTTCCACATCACCCACAACATAGACATAACCACGCACTCCCATAATATGGAGACACTATCATTTTTCCAAAGTAACCATAGGGTATCACAAATAAATCAATGTGCCCTCTAGGGAAAGCCCAACTTAGGCTAAACTCCCCAAGAGCTTTAAGGCACGAGGCATTGGAGAAAAAGATGATCACATTTTCATACCACCTTCTGCACATCACACACCAATGAGGAGAAAAACAAGAATTCGGTATTCACTTTAGCAGTAAGTAACATGTATTGAGCTTACCTTAATAGGCACTTTAGCCTTTCAAATCATCTTATGAGGTTCAAAAATTGGAGACACATGATCATCAATCAATGCGTTGAAGTAAGACTTCCAAGAAAAGACACAAGATGACTCAAGAATCCACGGTCTTAAAAAGAGATAAATAATGAATAGGAATGGTGTAGCCAATTCTGACTGAACCAATGCAAGTCTTCCCCCTGTTGATAAACAGGCCCTTTTCCACTCTTCCAATCTCTTTTGAGCCCTCTCTACTATAGGGTTCCAAAAACACAAAGAAAGGATTACCTCCCAAAGGTAACCCCATGTAGGCTGGCATATATTGGAGATTGAAATTCCACATTTGCAGTATAGAAACACCAACTTTGAGAAAACACTGCTAGGATTCAGCACTAGTTTTTTGAATTGTAAATTTTTTTTTTTTGGTGTTGGAATTATCTTTTTCGCAATCCTGAATGCCCATATCTTTGCATAGATTGTGCCACAACTATTAAGCATTAACTATTCTCAAGGACTGTTGTTTCACCTTTTATATGCAGGTGCCTGTAACACTTCTGGAGTACTCCATGAATGCTGTCACAGAAGGCATTGATGCTCTAGCTACCACCAAGGTTGTAATTCGTGGGGATGACGGCCACACTTCAACTCATGCTTTGACAGGAAAAACTATTAATCGTACATTTAGGTGCGGCATGTGCTTGATTCATCTTTTCTTCTTATGTGGCGTTCCTTTTAATTCCTACGTAGTAAAACATAAAAGTGTTGTAATACCTAAATGTGATCTAGAATGCTAACCTTCTGATTTGTCAGTGGTAATGGAACTGCGATGGATATTGTCATCTCCAGTGTTCGAGCTTATGTTGGTGCATTAAACAAGATGTTAAGTTTCAAGAAAGGTTACGTTGAAAGTCCTCAGATGACTACTTCAAGATAAAAGAGTGTCGGTACATAACCGTATTGACCAATTAGGAACATGGAGCTGTGTGCTTTCTGATCAAATTGTATACAGGTGGGGAGGAGCATGGCCAGCTAAATTATCATCTACTTGGAGTTCTTCCCCCAATTTTTCCACCTTCTTTCTCCTTTGCTTTTGTTGTACAATTTGTATTCCCTCTGGACAGGGGAGCTGAGCAGTGTGTTTAAAATTGTCAATTAGTGTATGGTAGACAGTTGGAATTTGTACAATGAAGTTTATCGGAACCTAAGTAGTTCCTTTCAAGAGATTAATAAAAGGGTAATGTTGATATCTTTAGTATTGCTTTCACAGATGTAATCTTTTTCCAGGGAGGGGTGTCAATCATTGAAACTATTAATTTATGTCACATAATTAACTATTTTTGTTTGTCGCTTTGAAATTGAATTATTCATATTTAATATTAACTCAATTTATTTATTATTATTTTCAAATACCAATCACATTTCAAGTTTATAAAACATTATCACCTTTGTTTACGTAATATATGCATAAAAATAATGAGAAATACACGAGCCCTGTGTTTTTTTTATTTCGTTTTAATTTCGATCAATTTTTTTTCACAAATATCCGTTTAAAGTGTTGAAAATGGTATTTTAGTATCAAATTTTCACTTTTTATCTAATAAACGTTTTACGCATATAAAATATTATTATTACTTTTACAATTAATAATCATAAATTAATTAAATTAAAATCTATGATTATTAATTAATTTGATATGTTACTCATAATCTTTTGGGATACCACACCATTTGGCTTATAANTAATTAAATTAAAATCTATGATAATTAATTAATTTGATATGTTACTCATAATCTTTTGGGATACCACACCATTGGCTTATACTTACGAAATTATTGTAATAAATTTGCTTTTGGATAAAGGAAAAGGACAAGGAACAGTCAGCACTATAGCAGTAACCAACTCACCAAAGCATCACTACTCTAGCGGTGGCGCGTGAATTTGTGTGTCAGAATGTGTCTCTGTGAGAGAGAGGNATCTTTTCTTCTTATGTGGCGTTCCTTTTAATTCCTACGTAGTAAAACATAAAAGTGTTGTAATACCTAAATGTGATCTAGAATGCTAACCTTCTGATTTGTCAGTGGTAATGGAACTGCGATGGATATTGTCATCTCCAGTGTTCGAGCTTATGTTGGTGCATTAAACAAGATGTTAAGTTTCAAGAAAGGTTACGTTGAAAGTCCTCAGATGACTACTTCAAGATAAAAGAGTGTCGGTACATAACCGTATTGACCAATTAGGAACATGGAGCTGTGTGCTTTCTGATCAAATTGTATACAGGTGGGGAGGAGCATGGCCAGCTAAATTATCATCTACTTGGAGTTCTTCCCCCAATTTTTCCACCTTCTTTCTCCTTTGCTTTTGTTGTACAATTTGTATTCCCTCTGGACAGGGGAGCTGAGCAGTGTGTTTAAAATTGTCAATTAGTGTATGGTAGACAGTTGGAATTTGTACAATGAAGTTTATCGGAACCTAAGTAGTTCCTTTCAAGAGATTAATAAAAGGGTAATGTTGATATCTTTAGTATTGCTTTCACAGATGTAATCTTTTTCCAGGGAGGGGTGTCAATCATTGAAACTATTAATTTATGTCACATAATTAACTATTTTTGTTTGTCACTTTGAAATTGAATTGTTCATATTTAATATTAACTCAATTTATTTATTATTATTTTCAAATACCAATCACATTACAAGTTTATAAAACATTATCACCTTTGTTTACGTAGTATATGCATAAAAATAATGAGAAATACACGAGCCCTGTATTTTTTTTATTTCGTTTTAATTTCGATCAATTTTTTTTCACAAATATCTGTTTAAAGTGTTGAAAATGGTATTTTAGTATCAAATTTTCACTTTTTATCTAATAAATTTTTTACGCATATAAAATATTATTATTACTTTTACAATTAATAATCATAAATTAATTAAATTAAAATCTATGATAATTAATTAATTTGATATGTTACTCATAATCTTTTGGGATACCACACCATTGGCTTAAACTTACGAAATTATTGTAATAAATTTGCTTTTGGATAAAGGAAAAGGACAAGGAACAGTCAGCACTATAGCAGTAACCAACTCACCAAAGCATCACTACTCTAGCAGTGGCGCGTGAATTTGTGTGTCAGAATGTGTCTCTGTGAGAGAGAGGAGAGGAGAGTGTATGTGTGTTTGTCTGCTAGTGCAGCTATGCAGGTTCATGGGTGAGCCTTCTTTTTGGGCATTTGGACCACAGGGTAAGCGTTCATTGAATATCCCACTTTTTCATTTTTACACAGATTACACAACCGAGTATTACCTTTTTCTTCGGTTCTTGTAGCTCGAGTAATTATCAACTTTGTGATGTAATTGAAAGATTTGTTTTCTGTTCTTAGGCTTGTTTGGCTGAGTAGTGTTCTTTCTTCTTGATGACCTTCATTTTCTTAAGATATTTTGTTTATCTTGATTTTCTTTTGTGGGTTGTTGCTCTTCTGATTCTAAGTTTCTACAAATCATAGAGGTTCTTATATTTTTGTGAACTGCTTTTGGTGATTGACATGAATGAAAATAGCATACAAATACTTGGAGGGGCATTCGTTGGGACATATTGAATTTCTTGCTTGCTGTGAAACTGACACACGAGAAAGAAATTTGAATACTGATTGAAACCCTTACGTGCTTCCTATTGAATATATATACTACCCGTGTGTTCATATCTTTATATTTGTGTGTATATATGGATGATATTGATATCTAGGCCCTTTATTCCTTGTTTTTTATGAAGTTTAAAATCTCGTTGGCTGTTCTTTAATTTGTTTTTGGGTTATTTTCATTTCATTTCTTGGTACTATTTGAGTATGGGTATTCAGTTTTATATGTGTTTAGAATATTAATGGCTTTTCATGGTTTGGTAGAGTATATGGGCTTGATAAACTCATTGTGCAGCAAGATAGAGGGGTTTGTCCCATTGCTATACTTGTTGGTGATTTGGCTATGTTCTAGAATGATAGATTCTGGTTTTTAGCCTTTGTTCGGAAGGAAAATCCTGCATAAGGACTTTATGATTTGGTGTGAATGTGTGATACTTCGCATTTATGGAATTGATTTGCCCCTGCTGTACTTCTTAGCCTTGTGCTTTGTTGTGTGCAACCTTGAAGCTGTTTGGATGTCATTGTTCAATGTTGATCCTATATCTCTTATGCATTTCAATACAATACAGTTTATTTAGGAACAAAAATAATGCAAACGATATTGACCTATATGATTCTATTGTGAACTCATACCAATGGAAACAAGACCATAGAATTTTGTTTGTTAGATTTTCATTTGTCCTTTCCTCTGTTTTCTTGATGACTCAACAGAGCATACATGACTTCTATGACAGAATTTCATATTTACGGTTCGACTCAAATGGAAATGAAACTTAAGAAATTGGCCACGTGTTGTGATTGATGTTCTGCTTAGAACCCTTACATTTGTTAGACATTGTAAATCCTAAATGATAGACGGTGCACCAGTTTGGTTTCTCTGTTTTATAATTGGTTGCTTCCTTGAGGTCTGGTGGAGCTGTTTATGTGACCAAATATGGTGTTTGTTTGCCAAAGACAAAGTAATATGATTCAACACATTGAGGGGAACACTGCTACTTGATTGGCACTTGAATGTTTGTACTTATCTTATCTTACTTTAGTTTCTTTCAATGTTCTCTGCCAAATTTTTTTCTTTCCAGTTCTTGTGTGACATAATGCAAGTTTGTTCCAAAGAGCAACGAGAAGCAATTTATTGTTATTATTGTTATCCTTCTAATATTATTATTATTATATTCTATTGTGTTGCTCGGTTGCTTTCCTTTTTTCTTTTTGGGTTTCTTTTTTTTTTTTTTTTGGGGGGGGGGGG